TCACTGGCAACTCACAGCAGCCCAGCTCCAGGTTGAGCTGTTGTTCAGCATCTTAGCTGTAGAGGGCAGTGTCACTGGCCCTCATATGTAGGATCTGAACCGGAGCCCTCTGGCGTCCCAAGCCAGCTCTTAACCAACGCGCCACTTGGCCGGCCCTAAGAAAGGCTTTTTTAGAGTATATAGTTCACACTGTTACAAGCCAAGAGTAATCTTTTAAAAATGTAACACAGTTTACATCAATCTTCTCTTAAGGCCCTCAAATGCCTTTTTCTCACACTTAAACTATGTACTAGCAATCCTGGTCTAAAAATCCTAGAGCTCAGTCCTGGCTCAGCTCACATCACCCCACTCTGTGCCTTGGAGTTTCTCAAGCATTAGATCTTATTCCTGCCTTAGAGCCTTTAACTGGTGGCCCCTCTGTGGGGCATGTTCTTTCTCCTTTCTTCACATGGCTGTCTCCTTCTTATCATTCTCACTTAAATGCCACCTGTTCATAGCGGCCTTCCTTGATTAGCTTTCTCATTTTTTCATCATCACCATGTTTTAATTCTCTCTAGGGTACCTATGATTAGCTGACCTTTTCCTGTTCATTGTCTCTTTTCCTACCAGAACTTAAGACCTATAAGAGCAGGGACCTTGCTTGTCTGGTTTACTACTATCTTCTCAGAGTTTAGAATAGTACCGGGCACACAGTAGGGACTCAACACTTGTTTGTTGAGTGACTAGAACTAAATATTGGCTACTTATTCTCTTAAACAGGACCTAGGCTCTCCAGTGCTCCATGGTACCCACTGTTTCCTGTTATCTCCCAATGCAGCTTGCTTTGCTCTGGTAATCTCCTCTACCTGGCCCCTGTAAGCATTTTAATTTTCAATCCTTGATCATAAATGTTAGTCTAATTATCTTCAGTATCTTGAGAGCAGAGGCTATGTTTTATGTTTCTTTTCTTACTTCAATTTCTTGCACGTAAGTGGGAGGGAAGGAATTAACATTCATTGAATATCTCCTACAGGTCAAGCACAACAACCCCACTGTAATTTATATCCTCACAGCACCACTACGGGGCCAGGTATTATTATTTATGTCCATTTTATGGATGAGGACATTGAGGTTTAGAGTTGTTTAGAGTCATAGTAAATAAAGGACCTTGCACTGGAATTCACCTAGACAACACCTACTCAATATGAACTACTACCGCAAAAGGGTTGCTCATGTCTGGTAAACAGGTGATTGTTTCCAATTTGCAAAGTAAAGATTGAGCAATGAATTCAATATTTCAGGTCTAGTCTTACCTGAGCAGTTTGGCTTTTTACTTATCAATTTCATTCCATGGAGTATATGAAGATTTAGCTTGAGGGATGTCTATATTTGGCTAGAAGAGGGTATGGAAATGTTAATCATGCATTCTACACAAGGGTCTTGTATATTTAATAATGTCTGCTGGTGGCACATGTTATAAAGTCTGACAGCAAGGAGATTTTTCTGAAGATAGTTATTTCAGTCAAATCATTACCTGTCCCTGTATCACTGGACAAAGAAAGACAGACACTGAATACACCAAATGTGTGCCACGCGACCAAGCAATCTTTAAAATAAGAAAATCTTATTTTTATTTTTATTTTTTACAGAAATTCAGATATTCCAACAAATTTCTTTACTAATCCTGGACCTTAAAAAAATTACACACAACTTTTAGACGTAATACAACAGAACAGAATGAGAAAGGGAGTCACTTTATTTTTTAAAAAAAAGATAAAAACATACTTCTTATACTTAATTAACATTTAGTGATATACATGTGTATTACTTATGTACATGGTACATCGTCAATGACCCATCTTCAGAGCACTGTGGTATGCTGAATTAAATTACACTTAGGTATAATGGAAAAACTGTTAAAAAACATTTGCATGTGAATAGGAAACACTTTTTCATTTTTGTAAACACCACTATTTGTGATGTAAAACTCAATGAAATCTGTAATTCACATGGATAAGAGAAAGCCAATACCTCCTATTTTTATTGCAGATAAAGTAGAGAGATACCTCCCTTTAAATAAAAGATGAATTCTTGAAAAGTTGTGTGTAATTAAATTTGGTAAGTAGGGTGTTTTAAATGTAGTGGGAGCACTAATATTTAAAGCAACAAATAACTCCCAGAGGGGCTAATATTTTAGAGATAATAAATATTCCCTTAATTTGGCTCTTTAGAAAATCCTTATCTTTGTGAATTGGATTTTACTCGTTTGAGCATATCTGTAATACACTTTTAGCCATTTGAAACATAATCATGTTTATGGTGAAAAGATGGCTAATAGCAAAACATTTAGCAAGAATAGAAGTGTGGCCCTAATAGAGAGAGGGTAAGAGAAATCAACCATGGCCCGTATCACTTTTTGTGTTATCCTCCATAAGTGCTCCAGTGATATATGCTAATTTAATCTTAATTTTGAGCCTAAAAATGAAGGCATGTTTTCTGCTCAAGTATAGAACATGGTTTGGCTTACACTGATTACCCCTGCATGTACAGTTTAGCTTGTGTTCATTCTCAAGCAATTGGCTACTTCAATATTAAATTTTTGCTGTTGTTGCATATTGGCAGGATATGTAGTGAAGTGGGTGAGGGGAGCCTGGAAGCTGAAGATTGGTGAAGACAACTGATCAGTTGTAACTACTTTCAAATGCCAACCAAATACAAAATTTTGAGTATTTTGAAACCAACGTTAGTAAACCGAAAGGCAACTTACTCCTACCAAGTTTATTTGACCTGTATAAGTACATATTCATTTATTTCTAAGGCTATTAAATTATTGTTTATTTAGTTAGTACCACTTACTATCATTAGAAATAGGTTTAATGGAATGATTTTTATTTATTTATTTAACAAAATGAGTGCCTGTCAGTCAGGTAAAGAAAGAATATGGATTTCTGATGACATGTATTGCAAAGAAATAGAAATGAAAACAGGAGAGATTTTAAATGCTTATTTATAAAGTGTATTAAATTCCTATGCATATACTAGGAAGAATTAGAAAAAGTATTTATTTGATAGCAGCCTATATATTACATGTGAGCATCGGAAGTGAAAATGAGCTTTCTGTATTTTTCAGAGATCCTTGATGTTGTTTCCTGAAAGATAGGGAAGCCTATGTTGCTCGGGAACCTACGATGTAAAGATGTACTTCCTGTAATATACAGCTTGATGGAGTAATAGTTTATGTCAGAATCACTTTCTCAGTAATAACTTGTACAGACGTTAAACGGAACACAGACTCGGTAAAAAGTTTGAAGTATTACATCTCTTAACTGAGTGGTTGTAACTAATTACACAGTGAAATAAATGAACAGCAGAGATGGGGGAACCTAGGTCACAGCTCCTAAGAAGATATTCAGAGGCATTTTCTAAGATGTTTCCTCAATAAATGATGCTTGCTCAGCCTCTTGGCTACTGAGATAGGAATGATCTAGGATTGACCGCCTTTTTTAAAATAATGTTGAAAGGTTAAAGCTTTCTGTTTTCAGTTTGATTAAAAAAAGGACAGCTTACAAACCTCAGTACATATATATATATATATATTACATGTTAATTCTAGCACATTTATATTTCTCTTCCTTGAAATATTTCCTGAATGTAGTTTCTCATGAATGTTGTCTGATCTTATTCAATGATAGTTTTCAGTGAGCTGGTGTTTAATCCATAATCACATCTCCTTCCAGAAAAATCACTCCCATATCTGCTCATCTAGATCGACAAGGGGCTTTGACAAGTGGATGTTTCGCTCTTGTTCATGTCCATTTCTGTACTCTGATCTCTTCCAAGCATCTTCTTTCTTGATGTTGATGTAGAAAAGCTGTTATTCGATTTGTTTAGCTTGTGCTCATTCTAGAGAATATTGGCTTAGCAGAACTGCAGAAAGGGGCAGGGGAGAGGTGGGGACGAGAAAGAGAAAAGAAAGAAAAAAAATGCATCATTTTATGTCAGCAAGATTTTTGTGCGTATTTGTCATAGAAAAACCACACCAACAAATGGTTCAAATGCACTTGTTATCAAAGAAAGTTGAAATGTTTGAGGTTTTTTCCCCCCATTAAACAAACATCATAATCTCTGGCAAAGGATGCCTCCTATAACCTAGACGTGTGTATTTCCTCCATCTGGGTAAAGATGACAAGTTGCTTCACGGGAGCAAGGAAGAATGTGAAATGATCTCAAGCATCACCGATTTTTTTTGCCTGACATAGAAAATGCCTCACAGGAGTGTTTTCTTTTTTCCTCCAAGCTTTATTTATTTATTATACAACCAACATTATAACAGCTAAGAGAAAAATGATTATAAAGCTGAATCATCCACAATCCCATCACCTGGAGACACCCATTGTTTTCTTCCCATTCCTTATCCAAATGTGCACGGATTTTTATATAGTTGGAATCATAATATAGATGATCTTTTTAACATTATGTGAAAACCAGTTTTCTAGATTTCCAATCTCTGCATCATCAGCATCAATTTTTTTTAAAAAGATTTTTATTGGGGAATTAGGGAAGGGGAACAGACAAGTTGTTGTCCTTTTGTTCTTCAGTCTAGTTGTGGAGGACGTTGCTTCACTGGCCCAAGTTGGCACCATCATTGCGCTCTTCCCGGGCGAGGCAGATCAGTCACCAGCTACTGGACAGCTCACAGCAGCTGCTGGCTGCTCACGCTGGCTGCTGGCTACACACGGTAGCCCATGGCAACTCACTGCAGCAGGGGCTGCAGCCTAAGCTGGCGCCAGTGACTCACGGCAGCCCAGCTCCAGGTTGAGCTGTTGTTCAGCATCTTAGCTGTAGAGGGCAGTGTCACTGGCCCTCATATGTGGGATCCGAACCGGGGCCCTCTGGCGTCCCAAGCCAGCTCTTAACCAATGTGCCACTCGGCCGGCCCAGCATCAATTTTTAATGGCTGCATAATATTCCATTCTACCTGCATTCCTTTCCATTCCATGCCCAGTATTCTATTTCCACTAGTTCACCATTGTCAGAGTGTTGGTAGGTTTCTGCTTTTGTTGCTTTTATAAATAATGAATATATTTGAATATAAAGCTCTATTTTTTATTTATTTAAGATTTTATTGGGGAATTGGGGGAGGGAACAGCATTGGGGAATCGGGGAAGGAGAACAGATAAGTTGCTGTCCTTTGGTTCTGTAGTCTAGTTGTAGAGGACTTCGCTTCACTGACCCATGTTGATATTGTGATCATTGCGCTCTTCCTGGCTGAGGCAGATCGGTTGCCGGCCATTGGACTCACGCCAGCTGCTGGCAGCTGATGCTGGCTGTCAGCCACTTAGGGCAGCCCCACTGCAGCCTACGTCGTCGCCGGGGACTCACGGAAGCCCCACTCCAGGTCGAGCTGTTGTTCACCATCTTAGCTGTAGAGGGCGCAGCATCACTGCCCATGTGGGATCCGAACTGGAGGCCCTGCTGACAAGAGCTCACGCTCCCAAGCCAACTCTTAACCAATGAGCCACTCAGTTGGCCCTATTTGTTCTTTTAAATTCTTTCTTGAGGACAAATTCTCAAGGGCTGGCTGCTTTTCCTTTTCTTCACCACATTAGGGACTATGCCTGGATTGATATAACTAGACCACAAATAGTGTGATCAACTTCATTCTTTGAATGATTTTTAGGCTTTGGCACTGTTAACCAGGCTTAAAGGTACCCTCACTCATAGTGAAGATGGGTCAATGCACCTAGCTGGCCAGTTTTGGGCTGAAAGGAAACCACCTATTGGGTTTTTCATCACAAAGCACTTAGACACAAATGATAATAAAACAATTGACCCATTATTCAGTTATAGTCCTTGATCCACATCACAAAATAAGACTATGGTGTCCCCATGAGTGCTAGAAAAAGACCTAAAGGATTCTGTTGCTGTTTCCAGTCTTTATGCCCTTGTTTTCCAACACACTTTAAAAAATTTTATGCACACTATGATTTTAATGAACTTCTCTCAGCGAGAGAACTCAGTTACATTACTGTACCTAGACTACACAGGGGATAATTGAAATATGATCATGTGATAATGACAATTAGCCTGTAATGATTCTCTAAAATTGAATCATGCTGGCAGACGTCCTATGGAGGGGAATGCTTTGCTTTCTTCAGATATTATTAAAAGCAACATAAGCAATCGGGGAATTTCATACAGCACTATGGGTGCTTCTGAACCTTGAGTGGTCTCTGCTCTGGTGCCGTGGAGGTGCTCTTGCTGGGTGGGATCCACAGTCAAGTTTGTGGGTCCAGAATTCCACTACTCTAGCATTATTCACTCTGGATATTTTTCTATTTAAAATGCACAAAGCTGAATGCCTGGGTTTTCCAGTAAGATCTGTGAAAGGTGTTAGTTGGGATGGAGGGAGGAGTGAGTGGGGGTTGTAAACATATGAAGGAGAATAGGGAAATGGGTGTTGAAAAGTGGCTACGCACGAGGAAGAGAAGGTGGCATATGGATCTGTCCAGGGCTATATGTGTGTGATGCATGGGAAGGGGGACGCAAGGGAGCAGTTCCTATTTTCTTGAAGTTCACAAATAAATATACCTGATTTCATGATGGAAAAGTCTGCTTTGGTGTACACCATTTGGTGGCATCCAGAAACCAGAGACTCCCACTTTTTCTCTCCCCTGCTCTGAGTCAGCTAATTGGGCTTTATGACATCACACTGAGCTGGGAAGAGAGCAAATGGGGGTGAAAGGGCTTTAGATCAGCTGCCAGAGCACTGACACCCGAGTCTGGGGAGGACATGGGAGTTTCCTGCAGGGTAAGCAGCTCCCTGGGAAGATCCGGAGCCCTCTTGTAGGAAGGGAACATTTGTTGCCAATTTCACAAGGGTTCTTGTTTACACCCCGTCATTGGGTCCGCAGCCCAGGGGATGACCAGGACAAGCCATTCATCACCAACCCTAGTTGGATTTACTCTGGACTTGAGTCACCCATACCCTCCACATGGCCAAATCCTTCACTGTAATCTCACCACTGATGACTCAACCCTTTCTTCTTAAAGCTCCCTTCTTTGTTGTCAACATTGGGACTACACTGCCCACACACGGAATGATGTTGGCCAGGGAGCTGAGGAGTGAATGGAAAAATGGAAGCAAAGCCAGTGAACCATGCCTGGACTAGGGTGAGGCCATTGAGGCTCCCAGGGCACAACATCTAAGGAGGCGCTCACTCTCAGGCTTGTGCAAATGCAGGGCGAGTGCCTCCTTAAATTTTTGCACACTAGGCACGCCAGTGGCTTGATCCTGGTCCTGGTCCTGCTGGTGAGAGCAGGCTGGTTATCACGAGGCCTCCTGGGAATGTTTCCTTGAGTTTGCGTTACTGAGACACTGCCACCACTGTATATTGTTTCTTCCTAGTGCATGGCACCACCATGCACCCGGAACCCTAGGGTATGTGAGAAGTCTGCAGGCTATGCTGGGCTAAAAATAACCAGCATATTTGTTCCAGTGGTGGTTAGAACACCGATACTCCCCACACAATATCCGGAAAACACTTTGCTGTGGGGAATGAAATTAGAATGTTACTATGATTACTTCAATGGCATGCACAATGAAGAATTTTCCACCTGAGGGCCTGGGAAGGGCTAGCTCTTCCAGAACATTTGTGAAGCCAGTAGGTGGAAGAGGATACAAGGCAGGGTTTTCCTCTGTGGATGTTGCCATCATTCCTTTACTCTAATGACTGTGAGACACCAAGGCAGTTTGCAGAATTTGGTGGAAGCATTAGTGTGGTAACATTGTGGTCTTCACTTTGTAAAACATCCTGCATTTTTCAGAATTTTCCCATGCACCATGGATGCCGTGTTGCTCAGGGGAGGCAATTTAAAAGATGTCATATTCTCCCAGGTTTGTACAGAGCAGGTCTGAGTAAATAAGTCATTCAATGAAGCTTCGGATCTTTGTTCAGTTCAGTTTGTCCTTGTAACGTCATGGGCTCTGAGTTGCCCATGTTCCATTTCCATAGGGTTTTTTGCAAATCCTTTTTGAAACTGTCATTCAAATCACTGCTCATGACAGCAGCATTTATAATGGCCACTTGTCTAGACTACCTAAATGCTGTGTTCTTGCATTTTCTGTGTGTTTGTGGACTTTGAAAGGTCTCCTGTGATTGTTTCTATCTGACCTATTCAATTAGGTCCTGGACCCCCAGTGTCAGTATAGCTGGGGGCAGGCACTGTCTGAGTGAGAAAAATACATGGTGGGAGAGTCAGGCTTTAGCAGAATGGCTTGCTGAATCTTTGTTGTGAAAGCGAGGTAAGGGGGGAATTCCAGGGCATTTTTTCTCATTGGCTATATAGGCTTAGTCATTTTCTCCC